CTTTGGTGAACTTAGCTATTCAATGAGCTTCAGTTCTGAGTTCCGTGTAACTCAGCTGTGCCGTGTCAGTGAATCCCTAGTCTAACCACTGACCGTGGATCAGTGAGGTCTTCCCAAGGAAACACGTCCGTGAGCGTTGATTCCTGGGAACGTGATACAGACTCCGATCGCGTTGCAAGGGAGACCTTCCCCGTCGGGAACTCTCCGAACGTGTGAGTCTTGTGAGACGGATAGGGGACATGGCTTTGTGATGCAGCGTGGTAGACGCTGTGCTCGCTCTTCCGAGGCGACTTTATACCCGTCTCTTCCTATACTTTCATAGTTTACCACATCACTATCGTGCTACCCGGCTGCTTCATTCTCTTTAGGGTTAATTTATGAATTTGGTTCCAAGTTTCGCTCAGTTTTTTGTTGCATCCTCCTACCTATGGCGGATACCTTGGCTAGGGAAACGGAGGCCTTTCGTGCGATTTTCCCGGCCAGCTGCCCAACGGTTCTGCGTGATGCTCTCATCGACAGGCTACTCGCACTTGGTGTGGGTACCGCTGACCTCTCGACCTTGGTCTCAAAGCCAGATATGCTGAAGAATACAATTGTTGATGTCCTTTGCCCTATTGGTGAAAAAGAAACGGCAGATCAGAAGCAACTCCGTTTGATTCGCGGTTTGAGGATCGAATCAGCTTTACAAGGTGCTGCTAAGGCCTTCTCCAACAAGCACGGCCCTGCCGCTCAAGGTCAACTCGAGTACATGGAGCGAATTTCGAAGCGTTATGGTGGTGCGGCTTCCCCCGGTTTGGTGGTATCGAGAGGTGAAGCTAGGTTCCGAATCGGGAATTCCGATCGTTCCACGGGAGGCAAGAAGCCAGTAGTGGATGTCAACGGCAACATCCAATGGATTCCCGACTCGGCCACTGGTGGCCGCAAACCTCGCAATCTCAGTGAACTGTGGTTCGGCCTTCTCCCCATCTTACTATGTATCGACACTAGTTGCAACGTGAATGGAGGCCCCTGGGTGCTCCACTATTTGCAGGAGTTATGCCGGGTCTCCATGTTATAGGAGAGTCGGCCGCAATGGTCTATGATACCCAGTTCCGTCGGTCTCTGAACGGTAGAGCGTTTGCTCTGGCGGAAAGAGAACGGATTCCCTTGTCCCAAGCGACGGTACGCTTATTAGGTGGTGCCATGGACCAAGAAGCCCTCAGCATGGCCATGGGACCGAGATCATTGGTGGAAGACTCTCAAGTCAAGTCCATCTCCTCACATGTGGTTTCGGGCTCTGGTCCGGCGACAACCCCCAACAAAGAAAGAGCGTCGAAGGCTCCGCCTCCCGGTATCTGCCCACATACTCGCAACCAGTGCCCTTTACTGAAGCTTCGCAAGTGTCCCTGGCCGCCGAAGAGCCATAAAAAGGATACGATGGTCGGAAAAGAGTT